AGGGCGGCTTCGTGCTCCGCTCGCACCGGGGCCGCCCCGTGCGATGTGGAGCCGCCGCCGCCCCGAGGCCCCCTCCGCGGCGGCCGCGCTCCCCGCTCTGACGCGCGCTCCCTTCTCCCCGCAGGGGTGTGAACACCTTTTCCCCCGAGGGGAGGCTCTTCCAGGTGGAGTACGCCATCGAGGCCATCAAGGTACGGCGAGCGCGGCGGCYGCGCTGCCCTCCCGACGCCCCTCGCCACCGGGAAGCCTCTGCCTGGCCGGGAACGCAGAGACGAGGGGCGCAAAGAGCCCTCCCGGACCCAGAAACAGGGCAAACCCGCCCAGCGGGGACGCGCCGTGTCAATGTGGGCTCTGTTTTTTCTCTAGTAAAGCAGGATTTGGCCAATTTCCAAGGGGAATACGCAAGCCTGGGCAGAGCTGCCTGCTGGGCCGGGTGCTGTTCTTGCACGTGCCTTTTGGCAGCTCTCTGCTGGCCTCAAGCAAGCGGCCGTTACCCCGAGAGCTGGGCCGCAGCTCTGCTCCCCGCAGCTCCTTTCTCCTGTCTTGTAGCTCCCGAGGAGTTCGCACCTCGGCAGGGGGAAGCAGGACAGCATTGCCTACAGTAACCGACCCCATAAACCAACATGATCCAAAAATGCGGCTCTCAGAGATGCTTCTCTCCCCTTTCCTGAGCTAACGCAGCGCGGCTTTCTRGTCCCTCCGTGTTAGAAATACGGAGGCTCCTAGAAAACAGAGCAGCCTTTTTCTCATTAATACCTTATATATATACACATACACATATATATTTTAAGCTTGCTGCTGTTGTAGCTTGGAGAGTTGGTCACGTTTTGCTCAGGTGAATTTTAAAACCTGATGCTAAAGGCGAGAGAGCCYATGAGCCAAGTAACCTACATCTGCAGGGCTGATGGGCTCTTTTGGGGCATTAAGTGTTCAAATAAAAGTTGAGGATTTTTTTTTATGTCCCTGAGCACTTGGGACTTCATTGGGAGCAGGATAAAACCCGAGGAAAAGGGATCTAGAGGCTTTTAATGTGAGAGGTGAGGCAGAAAAGCTGGAAACGGGCCTGTTTGGCTTGGGAGGAGGGTCGCTAGCTCCATTCTCCCTGTAGTCATGATCTTCACTGGGACACTGCTTAAAYACAGAGGCTAAAGAAACAGTGCTGCTGCTGCTGAAGCTGTGGACAGCTCCTAAATGGATGATGCCGCTGTGCTGTTTAGTCAAACACCTCCGCGAAAGCAGCAGTCTGGCGTCTTTCCGGCTTTGCTCTTTCTCCAGACCAGGTGCCAAGGCCACCAACGCAAACGCTGCAGCTTTCCCGGCACCCTGGGTGTGCTGCCTGGGGTCTTAGGGGGAGCTGTTATTGCTGTGTGATRGATTTATTAAAAACAGACACCTGAAATGACGTGAGGATCCCATTGTCACACGAGGTTTGTGCTCAGCTGGGTGCTTGAAGGGTGGCAGCCCTTGGGCAACGTCTGGAAACCGCCTGTAGCTGCAACTGGAAGCTTCTTCCCTGCTTTTTGGTGCTTTTTCCCTGCAGCCTCAGCTCTCTTCTGAAGTAGCGATTGTCACCTCAAAAGCAGCATGTGTGTTTGTGTGTAAAACCCTCCTGTCACACCTGTAAATTCTGAGGAAGAGGCTTGGAAGAAAAAGAGCTAACTAGAAGAAAGAGGCTAATGCACAAGTAGAGATACAGGCAGGACTATGTCTGTTGTGCAAAGTCTGACTTTAAAATTTCGTTGTTGTCTTGCCAAATAGATTATTTTGAATTCATAAAACTTTAATCTGTAGAAATTGACATCTCTCAGAGGGGAGATTAATAATTAACAGCAGCGTTGCCGCGTGCTGATGAACTCAGGAAAGATGCGTGGTTTGACCTCTCCAGCTTCCTGGTTCCAGCTCTAACACATTTCTATTCAGTTTGGTTTGCAAAACGACCCGGGTTTATTACACCCAGCAGCTTTGCACAGGTTATGTAATGCTGGCCTCCAAAACAAGCCCCTAGGAATAACGTGGTGTGGTGCCAAACACCTCAGTGCCGTGGTCGCCGTGCGGCGCCTGTAACTGTGCGGTTGTTCCTAGCTTGGTTCCACGGCCATCGGGATCCAGACCTCGGAGGGCGTTTGCCTGGCTGTGGAGAAGAGAATCACCTCCCCGCTTATGGAGCCCAGCAGCATCGAGAAGATTGTAGAAATAGATTCCCACATAGGTAAGAAGCGCCTTTTTTGGTAGGTTGGGGATGTATTTAATAAAGTGCTGTGCCCTAAAAGGTTCAGAAATTGTATTTCAGGACCAGCCTTTCCTGTAGGCAGCCCTGCCGAGATAAGAGGGAGCGCTGGACCCTCCCTGTGAGCACCAGGTTCTGCTCCCTGCTTTTCCAGGCTCCAGGCCAGTGGGACATAGTTCCAGGAGCAGGAAGCGGCAGCTGAGCCCCGCCACCCCCTTGTATGACCTCCCTTCTGAAAGCTTATCCCAAGTTTAGATCTGGGAGGACAGGGAATTACTGCAATGTAAAGGCTTGACTCCAGGCCAGCTCCTGCTGCAGCACTAATGTTAGCCTGTACCCCCTGCGCCGGGAGGGGGCCCGGGAAGGGGCTCATTACCAAATAGGTCAATTAAAGAGCAGGAGACCTCCGAAACCCTCGTGCTGATGGTGTGAGTCATGGAGGCTSGGGAGCGCCTGAGGAATCTAATGCCCTCCTCCTGTTTGATGGGAGTTTGGGGTTTGATGCAGCCCTGCCCTTCTCATGGCAGGTGAGAGGGTCCCCCTGGGTGCGCAGTAACGTTTCTGCTCGTGTTGGACAGTGCATCCAGCAAGTGAGGAATGCTCACTTGCAATCCATGCCCTTTAATTAGCCCTGCTCCCTAAACTTGGGTTTAGCCACAACCATAACATTGTGCAGCCGCTGCCTCGCTCTGCTAGGCCACCTCTGAGCTGGCCTTTCTCCAACCTGCTCCTAACCCCTAGCTGGGGGCCGTGCAGCTGGTCCCCACAGGACAGGGTGGGTAAGTTGCCTTTGGTTGGGATTCTGCCTGAGGCTTCTCCTGGAAGACTTCAAGTGTCTCCTTCAACTCACTTGGATCTGGGATGGATGGGAGCCGTGGCTGGAAAAATTCAGGTCTCTCTCTGTCCTTCAGTTTTGTGCCCACTCCWGTGGGTGCAGTTCGAGGTGCTGAAGTGCAGCCTCGTGCTGCTCAGTAAATCCCTTGTGCTCCCATGCTTCCCAGCTGCCATCCTTACAGCATCACCATGCGTTCCCGCTTTCCTTTAGAGCTGTCACGGAATGAGACATATACGAACATTCCGTATTTCCCAGTGGGTTTGGGGAAGTCTGGGCAAGGGCAGTGTGAGGGAAGCCAATTAGATGACTCATGATTTCCMTCTTGGTGTTCCAGGGTGTGCCATGAGTGGCTTAATAGCTGATGCAAAGACTTTAATTGATAAAGCAAGAGTGGAGACTCAGGTAAGACTTGGCATTTCTCTTCCCTAAGCAATAGCACCAAGTCCTAGGGGCATCTCGGGTCTCTGACACAGGAAGAAAAGGAACCAGTTTGCAGTGGGMAGTGCCTGGGGAGCCTGGCTTCCCTTATGGGCTTTTACAGAACAAACACATGGGTTCTCCTATATATTTTTTCCTCTCTTTAGCAGTGAGCATTTGGTAGGAATCTTAGGTCAGGTTCTCCAGAGCTGGAGCAAGCTCTTAAGACTGGCAGTTGCGGCAAATGGGGAAGATCATGTGTGGCCAACTTAGTTTTGACAAAAGACTGTCTTGGTGATATTTTCATCCCCTTAAAATTATTCCTTTCCTCAGGTATTCAAAGGTCTCAGGTACAAATCYATGCCTTAGAGCAAAGACCTTTCCTGTGGGACTTTCCTGCCTGTTGGCACCTTTCCTAGCTCTAAAGAATCAAGTAATTCTGTCCCTTCAGAAGAGGGATCCTGGGCTGTTGGGACAAAGTGCTCTGGCCTTGTTGGTGTCTCAAAGCCAAGGTGTCTCAGCTAGCATCTCTGCGCGAGSTTCTCAACCTGTTCTGCACTTCCCTCTTTTCAGTGCTTTTTATCTGGTGCTTGAGCCYTGTCAGAGGAGGGGGCTGGAATTAAGTTGTCTTGAAGCCTGTGTGGGCATCAKCTAGGCTGCTGTGTGAATATCTGACCAGGTGGCGTCAGTTTARGGGACAGAAATGATCATTCCCATGTTTTATTTTCCCGCAGAATCACTGGTTCACCTACAACGAAAGCATGACCGTGGAGAGCGTGACCCAGGCCGTGTCCAACCTCGCGCTGCAGTTYGGGGAGGAGGATGCGGACCCTGGCGCCATGGTGCGTAGCGGGGGTGCCCGGGCCACGTCCTGCCGCCTGTCCCCTGTCACCTCTCCCTTTGTCACCCGTCCTGCCTGACGTGTTGCCTGCTCTCTGTTGCAGTCTCGTCCCTTTGGCGTCGCGCTGCTGTTCGGAGGAGTTGATGAGAAAGGACCGCAGCTGTAAGTCCARCTCTCTTGCCACCTCTAGGAAGGGGCAAGAGCTTTAAACTGGGAAATTTCTCAGGCGGTTTTCGAATAACTTGATTTGGGGATTTATTATTAATTTACATACACCAAATACTTGGGGCTTATCCCATTATGTACCTGCCRTGACTGTTATTGCTTTTAAACCCACACAGGTTGCTGCGGGTTGCGGCAGCATGAGCACGACAGCCTGCTCGGGGTTGCCCAGGCTGTCCCATCTTCAGTGAATCCTCACTGCTTTCTCTTTAGGTGGCCTCCTAGGCAGGAGAGAGGAGTCAAAGCTCTGCTTCTCCCTAGTTTATTCTTACCTTTCTGCAGAGGGCTAGCAGAGCCGCTGGTAACATAATATGTGGAGCCTGCTGTAACATTCCTCGGGGAGGCGGCGGAGCGCTTGTAACCTGAACTCGGCCTCTCCTGCACATGGAAACGGCCCCGCAGAGCCAGCCCAATAAGGTCTCCCAGTGCTCTGCCTCCCAGGAATAGCAGTGACAGCTCGCTGGGTTTTAAAAGGGGGGAAAAAGAAAATAAGATTTTTTTTTCCCGTTAGGAGAACGGAGAGCAATGTCAGGAGTATACAGCCCTCCTAGCTTACGTGTTTGGGTCTGCAGGTGCCTTTTGACATGTTGGCACTCTTCAAATCACGTTCTCCTCCTCTAAATGCCAGCAGGAGAG